TTATATTATATAGTAGAAAAAATCATAAACTCCCTCTATATTATATTATATATTATATAAACTCCTAGAAAAATAAATAAATATTATATTATTATATTATATATTATATAGGGAATTTATGATGGGACACATAGAATGTCCCATCATAAACTCCCTCTTTATATAATAGTACTCCCTCTGTCCCAATTTATATGACTTACTTTCCTTTTAGTCAGTCCCAAAAAGATGACACATTTCTATTTTAAGTACAATTTGCCTATAAAATGTCTTTTTTACCCTTAATTGAAATGATTTTACAACCACACAAATTTCTATCATTCATTTTTGGACCACAAGTTTTTAAAAAGTCTTTCCATTTTTTCTTAAAGTTTGTGCCAAATCAAAGTACATCATATAAAATGGGACGGAGGGAGTAGAAAGAATATCAACGAAACAGTGGGATGAATGTCAAATTGGCTCAACATGTCAATCAACCATAAAAGGTTGTTTGGTGTGAGAGATAAAAATAAATAGTTTTGAGATAAAAAATAATAATCTTGAGTTTAAATTTTGGTGTCTTGTTTGTTTGTCATGTTTGGAAGAAATTATCTCATCATTAATACCATAGTGACAGGATAAGTTATCCCATATACATGGTGGAATAAGTTATCCCTGAATAACTAATCTCAGGATAATTATTCATGGAATAACTTGTTCCCAACCAAATGACTCATTTCTCACTGCCAAGGAAATATATACATTGGAGTAATTTAAGTTTCAAAATAATTATCTTAATTTTGAGAGCTGTTAATGAAAGGGAAAATTTCATAATTAGTTAAGAGTTGAAACATAATTAGTCTCCTTAGCTATAGTTTGTCTAATTACGTAGCGTAGCTATAGTTTCAGTAGTTATTGTATATCTTGCTTGAATTTATTTTTTTTATACAAATTGAACTTTTGACTTATTTAATGAGGCGGGAATTTAGATTATTAAAAAGGAAAATAATCTCACAAATCATGATTATAGCATCTGATTAGAATTTCTTACCAAAAATGTCTTCTACCAAACAAAGTGTCACGCCCCGAGCCTACACCCTGGGCGGGACTGGCACTCGAAGACCATTGTTGGCCTCAAGCGAACCCTTGGTCTGGCTTACTAACTTAGCGGAAGACTATATGCATATTTATAAAGATCAATAGTACACTACTCAACTTAACTAATGAAATAACTTAGAATGTTTAATAGTCAACATTTAACTTGGCCAAAATGGCAACTCAAGTCTTAACATATGAAATGAAAAGTAAGGACAACTGAATTCACTAACTGACTGTCTGACTATCTATGAAGCCTCTAAACAACTAAGATGGATGTCGGGACAGGCCCGCGACATCCTAATGAACTAATACTAAAACTGAAAGCAATGTGAAAGAGTCCTCTGGAATGCAAAGAGGCTCACCAACAGACTCTGAAC